CTGACCCTACTACCCCGAACCCTAAAATGAAAAACAAAAAAGCCCTAGACCCCTAGAGCCGGATACCTTAAACCCAAACCCCTGCATGTCACATCCGAAGACCATATTCCGTAAGGCCTAAGCCAAAACCCTAAACCCTAAACCCTAAACCCTAAACCCTAAACCCTAAACCCAAAACCCTAAACCCTAAACCCTAAAACCCAAATTGAAGCCTCTTCCGCGCTGGGAGGGAGCTGCGATGGAAGAGACGGAGGAGGAAGAGATTGGTCCTTGTGCACCAGACCAGGATCTTGGTCGGAATTGGGGCTTAGGGTTCAGGGTTTAGGGTTTTAGGGCTTTCGGGCTTTAGGGCTTTAGGGTTTTAGGGTTTTGGGGTTTTAGGGTTTTAGGGTTTAGGGTTTAAGGTTTCGGTCGGAATTGGGGCTTACCTGGACCCCAACTGTTTGTAGAATAATAGCCTCTTCGAGGTTCTGGGCCATTATTTTGCCTGCTCTTGGGGGTTTGGGTAGGGTTTAGGGTTTAGGTCCGCATCGGGGTTTAGGGTGTAGGGTTTAGGAGTTTAGGGTGCAGGGTTTAGGCGCATTCACGGTTTAGGAGCTTAGGGTTTGGCATCAATACATGGACGGCAAATGGGCCACTGTGATCCTAAAACATATACCCTCTATCGTGAGTTGGATGTCCTAAACTCTAAGCCCTGAGCCCTAAGGTGGATGTCCCTAAACTGTAAACACCAAGTTGGTGCCCCGAAGCTCAAGCATACGGGTTCAAGGCTGTTCGAACCTTTCAAGTTGTGTATGCAGGAAGCTTTCAAAAGATCAGGGTTTAGGCGGGTTTAGGGTTTAGGGGTTTAGGGGTTTAGGGTTTAGGGTTTGGCTGATTAGCCCTCCATGGTCGTATTCGCTACATCCTGTTTCTTTGAGCATCGCACTTGAACCTTACAGGCTCAGCAACCTCAGTAATAGTAAGACTATAAGTGCCTGGGGCTATATATAAGGTCAACTACAGTCACCTTATGTGAAGCCCTAGTGACTGAATCCCATGATCTGAAGTACGACAATGCCATCCATCTGTTTGCCCATCTATACATGCCCCAACTGTTGATGACATAAATCTTGCATTACCTTAAGGACCCTAAACTACGGGAATTATAGTATATTCCTTATTCTGGGTAATGCAGGACTTATATCATCAACCGTACTATAGGGCTTCTGCCAACAGGGGCTTCTATACGGGTTCTGTAAGAGCAGTTCCTCGAAGTGGTGACAGTAGAACAAGAGCCCAAGAGAGCACCTGGGATCCGCCTAATGGTTTAGGGTTTCGGGTCTAGGGTTGCGGGTTTAGGGTTTAAAAGTTTAGAGCGTCCTTGATAGTATAATTTGTATAAGGAACCCCCAGAATTATTTGAGCCCCTACATTATGTTATCGGGTTGTGGCTTTAGGGGGGTGGGCTTGAAGATGATTAGGGCCTCCGGTTTAAGGTTTAGGGTTTAGGGCAGCTTTGGTCCTATGAAAAACCAAGCTTCTGTCTGCTTATATCTGACTCCTACAAAATAGCAGCAGCTACCCAATACCCTAAACTACCCTAAACTACTCTAAACTACCCTAAAACCCTGAATGAAACCCACAACCCTAAACCCTAAACCCTAAAACCCTAAAGCCCTAAACCCTAAAATACCCTAAACACCCCACCCTCCAGGCTCCATCGATCCAAGCCGAACTCTCAAGCCTCAGGAGAAGCTTTAAGGGAAGCCTCCAAGGAATCCCGAAACTTCTTCCTTAGGGACTAAAGGAGGGACCCTTAAAGGGACCTTAAAGGGTTTAGGGTTTAGGGTTTCGGGTTCAAGGGACTAACGGAGGAACCCTTAAAAGGACCTTAAAGGGTTTAGGGTTTAGGGTTCAAAGGACTAAAGGAGGGACCCGTAAAGGGACCTTAAAGGGTTTAGGGTTTAGGGTTCAAGGGAATAAAGGAGGGACACATAAAGGGACCCTTGGGGTTATATAGGGGTTTTATGAGACTACATAAGGGGTATCTAAGGGTTATATAGGATATTTGGCTTAGGGGTCCCTGCTGGGGCCTGAAAACCCTAAGCAGAAGCCTTAAGGGAATAGTCAAACGAATCCCTGAACGTCTTCATAACCCTCAAAAGCCCTAATGTAGGGGCCTAAATCATTACCTATACTATATTTTGGGGGTTCCTCATTGTAATTCTAGTGTCATGGGCCCCCAAACCCTATTCTACTTATTCAGGCCCCTACACTGAAGCCCAAAAGCAAGACCGAGGCAGCAAAATTGTGATTCGCGCCTCCTCCAGCTGTTGGGATGCCTGTTGAAGGCCCGAAACTTTGGGTTTAGAGTTTACCTGGACATCACAAAACATACCGTTTTAAGGGCTCTACCCTCTAATCAAGGGGTCATAACCTGCTCTTTTGTAGGGTTTGGGGGCACAGGTAGAGTATAAGGCTTAGTTCGGGGTTCAGTTTAGGGTTTTGGGGGTTAGTTCCGGGTTGAGGGTTTAGTTCCTAGGGTTCTTGGTTTCGGGCTTAGGGTCCGTAGGGTCGCGCAAGTGGAGGGATTCTGCAGGGATTTTCGAAGGCTCTCCGAGTCCTCTTGTGGATTCTATCAAGGTTTTTTTTTGGTTTAGGGTTTAGGGTTTAGGGTTTAGGAGGACGTAAGGCGCCAAACCCTAAACCACTAAACCCTAGCCAAGTTAGGGTTCTATGAGGCTTCGTTCCTTAAGCTCAGGACGTTCTACTAGCATAGGGGTCTTTGCAGTTCCTCAGGAATCTATTCAGGGTACTACACAAATTCGAGGGTTCCATGAAGCGGATACGCTGACAGTGTGGCTTGAGGCTGTTAGGGTTGTATGGTTCACGCTCCAGCGGTTGAGAAGGTTTGGGGTTTCGAAGCTTATAACTTATAGCCATGACCCCTTCAATCCATTTCAAAGCGACAGTTGTCGGTAATGTGCCAAGGTGCATGTTCCATGCCATTAGTTACTAGGGTTCGGGCTTGAGGGCGTGGGGCTTGGAAACCCTAAACCATAATCTTAGGATTTAAGGCTTGTAAACTGGTTTTTCGGGATTCAGTGTTATTGGTGCTCTTTTCAAGATGCAGGTGCCTAATGAGCGTATGTTGCGAGTCGTAGATTGGCCCGTCGGCTGTTGGTTCAGGTGCCCATGCACTAGGTATGGCCAGTGCAGCCTGAAACCTACTAACCCTAAACCCTAAACCCTACTATTCATGTAATCGCTCGGGATGTTTCGGGTTGTTTGCGGGACCCCTTCCAGTGAAAGGTACCTTAAGGACGAAATGAACCCTAAAAGGGTTTAGGGTTCATATACCATATATATATATATATATATATATATTTATATGGATTCATAATATAAGGGTATAGGGCCCCTACTGTTAAGGGTCATTTCGTCATTACGGTATGCACGACTTCAACGTATGGATCCGTTGCTCTGCGGTCTGAATCCTGCCTGGTAGTCTCCACTGTAGTTCCTTTTTTATGGTTTAACCAACTATATATTGAGGATTCTATAAGGCATCCCCCAAAAGGAACTNNAATGGAGACTATAGGTAAAGCCCCTGACATGCAAACTCATCCTTCGTCGCCACAGCCTCCGAAGCATGCACTCCAGCGGATCGCCACGGATGTAAGCCAAGGTCCCATGTCGAAGAAACCCCGGCGAGCTCGCGGCCGCTGAGTGTCTGGTTGGGGTTTAGTGCTTAGGGTTTAGGGTTAGGGTTTAGGGGTTAGGGGTTTGGGGTTTGGGGTTTGGGGTTTGGGGTTTGGGGTTTAGGGTTTAGGGTAGCCCTAAATCTGAAAGCCTAAAC